AGCAGTTTCTCTTTGGAGTCTGGTCCTGAAGTTTTTTTGCTGTAAGATGGCTACCTTTACATCTGCTATTGTGTGGCCAGGGAGGTTGAAGTGTTCTCCTACAGGTTTTTATATATTGCCATTCCTGATATCTGACTTCTGTCCATTTATCCTCTTGCGTAGTGACTGTCCAGTTTGGCCAATGTACATAGCAGAGGGGCATTGCTGGCATATGATGGCATATATAACATTGGTGGATGTGCAGGTGAATGAGCCGGTGATGTTGTAGCTGATCTGGTTAGGTCCTGTGATGGTGTTGATGGTGTAGATATGTGGGCAGAGTTGGCATTGAGGTTTGTTGCATGGGTTGGTTCCTGAGTTAGAATTGTTATGGTGTGGTGCGTGGTTGCTGGTGAGAATATGCTTAAGGTTGGCGGGTTGTCTGTGGGCGAGGTTGTCTGTGGTTGTCTGCCACATGGGGCATCAGTTCCATCTGTTGTATCAAAATGTATTTTTTTTTATAAATTTTAATTGAAATTTCTTGACTTTCATTTTCATTTTTTTATGAGAAAGGGTAAATAAATGTACCCTTACCCAATTTACCTTTTCTATATCATTCATTGTTTTATATATATTTTGTATGTCCTCTCTTATTTATAAACTTACTAATATTTTCAATCTCTTTTAATATTGAAGTCTCCCATCTGTCTATCGTTTTAGATCCCCATCTATGTATCCCCTCTGTTTGATTCTTTTTTTTTTTAATGGGAATTGACCACAGTATCTGAGGTGAAGAACAGCTATTAATTTTTGTAATGACATAATATTTTAATACTATTTTTATTAAATCCTAGCACTGGATTGTTGTTTTGACTGCCACTGCACATTAAGCAGAGGTTTTCACTGAACTCTCTCAGTGTAAGGTTCAGTACTTTTCCTTAGGGGTTAAATTTAGAATTTTGCAGCATGTATGATTAGTTCAAATAATCTCTTCCAATATGTATTACCTTATATTTGTCAGTGTTTAATTGCATCCAGCGTCCTGCTGTCCATTAGGTCTCTTCTGGAGTTTTCATAGTCTTCTCTAATAATGACTGTCCTAAATTGTTTCACCTGCAGATTTTATCACTTCACTGTTACACCCTCTTTTCCACAGTATTAAGTATGTGAAACAACACCAGTTCTGATATAGATCAGTGAGAAAACTCACTGTTAACCATTTGCCCTATTGAAAATTGACCATTTACTCCTACTCTCTGTTTTCTCTTTCTTTGTAATTGCAGAACTTTCACCCCAAAACTATTTAGTTTCCTCAATAGACTCTTATGGGGGGCTATGTCTAAGGCTTTTTAAAAGTTCAGATTAATTAAATCTGTCAGTTTTCTTTTAACCATAGATTTTTGCATCCACAAGAGATTCTGGTAGATTGAAGAAGCATGGTTTTCCTTTACACAAGTTCTACCAGTTTATCCTTTTTCCTTAGGTTTTGTTACCTGCAGTCTTCTAATATAATAGCTGATTTTAATAAGAGGCTGCATATTTTTGTTTCAGAGTAGCAGCCGTGTTAGTTTTTTTTTGTTTGCAGCTCACCCATTTCATTCTTAAATTCCTTCAGAACTCTCCGATGAATATCATCTGGTCCTGGTATCTTTTTGCTATTTAATATATCAATTTGTTCCAGCCACCATCTCTTTGTCAGTTAAGGTGGTGATGGTCCCAAGGGAGTTCCTCTGCCAGCCATTGTCATAAAGAAACTGACCTGGAGCCCAGGGATGTAGGCTAAATATATGTATGAGAGGTGTGCAAGGAGCTACTATGATCAAAGTGGTCATAACTTTCAAGCTATGGAGTTCCTGTCTGGTATCACACTGGTAAGAACCTAGGAGTGGAATTAGAGATCAATATCTTCGGAGAAAGATACTTAAAGATAGGTGTATAATTAGAGAGACTTTATATATAAATTAGGGTATATTGTCAAACATTTTGTGGAAATACTATGGTTTCCTGACATCATATAGACATCAGATTTTTTCATGTTTAACTGTTTGCTTGTTTTCTTCCATTTGAGACATTAAAAATGTTAGCTCTTGTGGTAGTTTTCGTTTTAGACAGTTTAATGTTTCTTTGGTAGGTCTTGGCCCGTATTTGACAATACACATCAGGATCCCACAGGGCTAACTTCAGTTCTTCGGACTACAGATCTAGTTGGAGTCTTGCATATGCTGTACTGTATTCTTTTCCATGGTACAATCTCAGATCCAAACATGGCAAGTCCTAAAGAGAGTTATACAGAGAACACGATCCAGGTTGCTATTCAGAGTTTACGCTTCTTCAATAGCTTTCGCAGTTCTTGATCTGCCAGCTTTTCAGGTAACAATTTTTGCTTTTTTAACTTATGCTTAAAATTAGAACATATATTGTTGTGTACATTTTCTTTTAATTTAGCCAAATGCATATAATTGTATTTAAAATTAACTTGAGGAAGAGTCACAAATGAAATAAATACTCTTTGATCTTATTTCTGCATGCATGGAATTGCTATTTGCTAATGTTATTTCCATTGTCTAACTATGGGAAATAATAAATGCAATCTATTTTTTTATTATAAGGCAGACATATAGAACACACAAACTAAACTGAATATACAACATTACCATTTTTGTTCCACTGGTTTTGAGGGTGACCAGTATGTTATATATCAATTCTAATCTCCTGTGTTACAAGCTTGCAAACCTTCTGTGCCACGGTCCACAAACAGCTATTTTTTTCTTTTCAGAATGGAAAATGGCTTACTTCTATGATATTTTGAGCTGCTTAGGTGCCTTGAGTTGATGGCTGCATCCCTAGATCACACTGTGTTTAAGTGTGACTTGCCACTTACTTAAATTTAAGATGGTACAACTCAGCTAGAAAAATACTATCTTTTAAAATTCCTCAGGAAAAAAACATTCAAATTTGGCAGATGGGAAGTATATCAAATGAAGTTTTTATGTATAATGTATACAACTAATAGTCCTGATCTTACAACTAGTTCTGTGCAGGAAGACCCCTTCATCCACATGGATCCAGTTGCAGGATCAAGGCCACCCTGTTGGGAGAGACAAATTTCCCAAAAGTAGAAGTTATTTCATATGTAAACATTGTAATATCTTAGGGCTGACAATGCAGTAAAAAATGCAATTTCAGTTCAATAAAGCATTTGCTTACCTGCTTTGCTGAATTGGGGTGATAGTATTGTTTTGATGGACAGAATCACTGTTCCAATCTTAGTAACTACTTGTCTCCATCTATTAATGTTAACTATTTAGTTAATGTTAAAAAGGCAGCACACACCTGAAACATATCATTGTCCCTCCTGACACTTAGGAACTGTAGCAGACTATAAGGCAGGAAAGAAAACAAACATAGTTTATGTGCTGCCTGATGATTATTAGCTTTCAGGAATAGTTTTATCATGTAATAGTAAGACTATAGAACAGTTTTCTGATTAAAAGAAGAGGTTCACTTGTGGCACAGTATGAATTAATTTCAGCACAGATAATCCCCTGGCTCATGGGTGTGTACGTCATTTAACATGACAGTCTAACAATTGAAAGATGGTAGTGAGAAACAATACACAGGATACTGAATTACTATTAATTCAGGCTAAAGAGGAAGCATAGTTTCCTTGAAAAATTAGTTTAACTTTTATACACAAACTCATGTGCCCCTTGGCCTGTTGTTATCAGGGAAGGTTAAACACAGAGCATTAGGTCACAGCATGCATGGACATGACTAATTAAATAAGGGCTGGACCCAAAAACATATTGCTACATGATGTAAAGTAGCAAATAGATACTATATTATGTTTTGAAGCTTGAAAGTATAACAACTTATTGGGGGAATTAACTATGGAGATGGAAGATATCCATTGCTGGTTTTTTAAAACAAAAATTCAATTTTTCTGGGCTGAATTTTGATTATGTTAAAACCTAACTCTAGCACACTTAGATTTATGTACATATAGTCCACACAGACTAGAAGATATGAATTAAAGAAAACTTTCAGATGAAAGATATTTTCCCACAGGCCTGAGCTGTTGTTTCATTAGAGTTAGTAGACTGTCATGCTCATTCCTTATGCTTCAGTTTTCCCCTTTGACCTTATGTCGCTCTGTCTGTTTGACATGTTTATTAAATAGAGGCTGTAGGCTGCACAGATAAAATCTAATTCTCCTGAATCTCCACACTACAGCAATTTGCCTACTTTCAGAAAGTATCCCCCCAAAAAATTGCAGCTGATGGTTGTCTTATTTTGAATGTTTCCAACTTTTGAAAATGTTTGTTTGAAAAGTTATTAGTTATTATTTATCTTTCTTTTCCGTTCAGAACACACAGATATTAATGAGAAATGTATTTTGCTCTTTTGCAAAAATTGGGAATGATTTGTTTTCCTTTGCTTATTACTGAGAATTATTATTAGTATTAAGTTTTCCCGGAACATGTTCTGCATATTTAATGAAATTGGCTGCTTAATGCTAACAGAATGCCAAGTGAGAAGAATCCAAATTTTTCTTTGCCCATTTAAAAATAAAATTCAGTTTTATTTACAGTGGCATTTATCATATTAATTAACATCCTACTGATAAGTTGATGAAAAAATTAAGGAAGGGAGAGGGGCAGGGGTTCACTTGACATTTTTTTACCACGACCATTATACAATCAAAAGTATAACCAAAATCTTACTTGAATACTTTCTGATAATGTTGAAAAGTATGTGATTTGTAGTTTCAACTCTCATTTGTTTCAGATAGTCCCTATAATATATTGCTAGGTTATGATTTCATATTTTCTGTTAGTCTATTGTAGGTGCTGAGGGACTTTCTCTTGCATTCCGTCATATTATCAGCTCTTTGCTGTGGTACTGTTCTCAGCATACCTGTGAAGGACTGCTACATGAAGTCATTGTTTGTGTTGGGTATTTTACTGTCAACCATCCAGATAATCAGGTAAGGAAATCAGAAAATGTGTTTGGGATTATCGTGCACGTGTTTAGGCCCTGATCTTGAAATACTTAATTATGTGAGTAGTGCCATTGTGTGTAAATTTATGTACATACATAAGCATCTGTAAGATAGGAGCCTAAGTTTTGTATTAGGACGAAAGACTAAATGAGGAATGTAAAGGGGGACATCATTCTTTTTGGCATTTATTTATTTTTTATGGTTGGTACTCCTATGCTTGAGATACTCATAGCACTGACCAGCCATAGTTAGGTCTGGTCACTGCCAAAACAGGACTGTTGACAAGTATGTTTTTCATGTCCACAAAGGTGTTATATCTTAGGTTCATATATTTTCTTTTTATCCTTTCCTATTGGATAGACGTTTGTACCAGAGAGAAGGTCAAATTCTACCTTTAGATATATGCAAATGCAAATCTCCTGGAAGCCAATAAGAGCTGTGCATGCATATCTGAGAATAGAATTTATCCTTTGTTCTTCATTCTTCTATTAATTTTAACCTTTCTATTTGTACTAAATTATATTAATAGTGCACTGGTCTCTGATTCCTACGGGAATGACTTTTACATTCTGCTTTAGTTGCAAAACATAACCTGATATTACAACATTGGAAATCCCCTTCAACTTCCTGGACACTGCAGTCCACAGCTATAATGGACTCCCAGAACTCACACACTAGAAAGAACTGCTTACAAAATAATCAGGATGCAAAACTTTGAGGATATTTGGATTCGGGGTATACCAGTGTGTAAATCAGGGCAAAACTTTGCCCTTGCTCTTTATTTTTGAATACTTGGACCTGACTGTGTATGTGTACATAGAAATTGTATTTTGTCGCATTATCCTTTGATATTATTTGGTTATATGGTATATTTTACATTGTCATTTGCCTTATTACTCCTTTATGTCTGTTTCTGCTATGCCCCTTTTCCGTTAAACTATTTTATTCAGAATTAGAAGTTTAATCCCCTCCATAAATTGAAGAGCAGATATAAGTGAATGTTTCAACTTGTCAGTATACGTTTAAAAAAAAAAAAACCTTTTGAACTATGATGATAGGGCTGTCAACTTCAATTTGAACATTGTAATATCTTAGGGCTGACAATGCAGTAAAAACTGTAATTTCAGCGGTTTTGGCCACAGCTTCAGAGAAAGTGCTGCAGCCCTGCTACCGTGTGAAGCCAAATCCTAATTCAGGATCCAAAAGTTGCCTGGCACTGCTCCCTCAGAAAACTGACTCCAAGAATGGTCCTGTGTTTTGCAGGGCTAATGTTAAGTAACTTTTGGAATTTGAATCGGGATTAGACTCCATTGAAGCAGAAATTGAGAAGTCCTGTGGAGATACTGCTCTTTCACACAGACTGCCTGCAGGTGGTATTTTTGTAACGCGTTCATTTTGAGAGCGGAGTGGTATTGCTGAGCTTTCCAAATTACCACTGCAGTATAACTGGTCTTGGTTTACAGAAGTGCCAGTGAACTCCATCTTCCTTTTCTCTCCACTTCAGGAATTCTTTTTTTGGCTCTCAAGTATAAACAGATGTGATCCATTGGAAAAGGGACATGCACCATTAATGTGCCAGTAATAGCACAGAAGAGGAACTTCTTTCCAGAGATGTCAGTTGTAGTGCTCTGTAGTGCCCATCGCTGTTTAGATTTGTGCCCTAGGGCAAAGGTCCACCAGCTTGTGAGCAGGCACCATGCCATCCTAGCAGATGGCTATGGTGAGTAGGTAGCCAAGAGATAAAGTATGTGCATAAATGTGTTTGTCTGAGGGCATGATTCCCAGCTGGTAATGTTGCAGTCTGTCTAAATCTTCAGCATCTGCCCTTGTGGTTAAAGTCATGTGCCATCACTAATCTACCTATGAACTGGATTAAATTTGAGGATTAATAAATAACTTTTTCACCTACATAAAATAATTTTAGGTCCTTGCTAAAATAAGCACAGTGGTGGTCAGGCAGTAGAGGCAGTGTACATAGTGGACTGCTTTGGTGTCACTTCTTCAAGCTATTTATTTCTGTTAGAGATATGCAAAATTAAGAGTCACTTTGTGAGCATTTCACTCATAAAAATGGCAATTTTCATTTAATGCTTTGCAAATTTTTTTGCAAAAATCAGTTTTCTCAAGCAAAAACATATTTCCACTCTGTTCACAATTTGTTGAAGACTACCAAGATCCCACCCACCTTTTAAAACCACCATGTTTCACCCTTCAGCCTGTGGCATAATAATTATGAGATCTCCAACTAGATGGGTTACAAGTTTTACTTTTATGTCATAGAATCTGGTAATTTGTTATTTAATTTTTTTAAAATCCACATGTATTTTAAATGGTCAAATTTTGCTCCTTAGAGAAACTAGATATTCATGCCTCCTGGTCTGTTTTAATCTAAAGAAAAGAGAAAACTAATATCTGGGTCAATTTGATTCTCTTTCCTTCTGTAGGACCATTCATGTAGGCTCAAATAAGGAGCATTTCTTTACCTCAAGTTGGACCCTTCAGGTTTCAACACCTTTTCAGAAAGTTACATGCCTGTATTGTGAGGATAAGGGCAATAATTGAGTTTCTCTTTTACACTGTTTAAGCATAGACTGTCTCTGGCCAACTAGTAATAAATTCAGGTACCGAACAGGCACTGGGATTTGCGTGCAACTGTTATTTTCGTATGCTAGTGCTGTGATTCCCAGTATTGAAGTGATGCCTTCCATGATACAGGAAGTGCTACTGGTTCATTTATTACCACTATAATGTTAGTTCCTGGACTTTCTGTTTTTACATTGAACATTTGTGCAATGCTAGTTTTAAAAAAATTAGTATATTCCTGAAGCAGAAGCCAAATAACAAATGCTCTAGAACTGTAAACATTAGCCTCCTTAAAGATGCTGAAGTGTTGTAAGTAAGACACAAGAAGTAATTCTTCTGCTCTACTCTGCATTGATTAGACCTCAACTGGAATATTGTGCCCAGTTTCAGGAAAGATGTGGACAAATTGGAGAAAGTACAAAGAGCAACAAAAATGATGAAAGGTCTAGAAAGGATTACCTTATGAGAGAAGATTGAAAAAATTGGGTATGTTTAGTCTGGAGAAGAGAAGACTAAGGGGCTTACATTGTAGCAAGGGTGGTTTAGGCTGGACATTAGGAAAGACTTTCTGTCAGGGTAGTAAAGCATTGGAATAAATTGCCTAGGAAGTTTGTGGAAACTCTGTCATTGGAGATTTAAAGGCAGGTTAGACAAACACATAATATGGTCTACATAATACTTAGTCCTACTTTGAGTGCAGGGGACTGGACTAGAGGACCTCTCAAGGTCTGTTCCAGTTCTGTGATTCTATGCTCCAAGAAGTCAAAGCATGTATCCCAGATTTCACCGAAGAAGACAAATATCCCTTAAATCCTGATAACTGTGTTCGTATATTCATCAAGTGCATTTTAAGGGACCATTGACTGAGATATTTCATATCAGCCTTCTGATTGCTCCTGCAGTCAAAAAATATTTGTTGTGATTTGTTTGTAGTTTAAACAAGTCTTTTCCTCTGTAGATTTTTAGTCCCCTATTATCTCCTGTAAATTTCAATTCCCTGCTTACAAGAACAAGGCAGACAAGTAGCGTGGTATATTACAGTGTGTCTGTGTACATTCACATGTATGCCTACAAGCACAGACACAAAACCCTATATGATGAGTAGGACAAAGCAGCAGCAAGCCTATTATTCAGAATTTGGCATCCCCTATTTTAGAGGCTGGACAGATTTTGCAGCAGAGGAAATTTTAAAATAATGTTATTAGTAAGGTATGTTATATTTTAGGTCTGCCAACCTTGACATTGTCTTTTGAAAAGTAATACAGTGGAGTCCTGATTTAAATAACAAAATAACTTTTGGTCTGTGCAACCAGTGATCAGGATAAAGGGATTCTCTTTTGTTTGGACCATACTTGCTAAGTTTATTTTAAAATTACTATGACTTTCTGACATTGCCTACATTTATTGTATTAGTAATAGTTTTTTCATATCCTGTTTTAATCTTCATAAAGCTTTTTTCAGGGCCTGGGTTATGAAACTAACAATTTTTTAAAGCAAACAGTCCTTTAATATGTTAAATGCTTTAGCATCATTAGTCGAGTGTAAACTGCACTGTCTGTTTTGTATCAGCACGTGAACTTTTATTTACTGTAGGGTTAGACATCTTGCATTTTTACAAGACAAGAATTCTGTAATCATGCGCTAGTGTAAGATTGCTTTATTAGGCATCTGCTTTGCATAAAGTATGGTCAGTGAAACTGGTTCTCTTTATTTGTCACCATTTAGTCTATTAACTTAAGAAAACAGGTCCCATGATACTAAAGATGCACTCAAAATAATAATAAAAATAAAAATAATGTCCCTATCTTTGATTAAGCCAATCATCGACTTACTATAGGATTAGAGTTTCTAATTAAAATGTTGTTGTTAATTAAAAATCCCCTCGTATTTTATTACATTTTCATTCCCTTTTCTACTTTGTCTGATTTAATTATTATAATGAACGTAATTGCTATGTGCTGTCAACCATCTACTTCATTTGCATTTTATATTGGATAATTGAATGTAGCCTGATAATTAAATTAACACAAATGACAGATGATTTGGCTTCCTTCACATTACTGTTTGGGGAATAAAAATCTTTGCATATTCATTGTAGTTAGGGAATATTCTTAATTTGGAAAATCTTTTCAAATTAAAGACCTTAGACCCATGATCTTGCATCAAAAGGCTCTAAAAGAAGTTGCACTGTTCATCTATCTAGTTGTGCCTGTATCATAAATCTAGTTTTATTACTTTCAGGAATTAACACAAACAATGTATTTAAACTGCTTTTGTGTGAGTCTGATTCACTTTGGGTATTGGCAATACGATACAGAGCCTTATACCTCTAAATTATCAATCTGAAGCATGATGTTATTAGGTCACTGGGTATAAACTCCGCATTTATTGGCTCAAGAAAA